TAAATGTAACTCTCTTTATTTTCTCTTGATTTAGTGTAGGTTAGTGTAGTATTGTAAGTTAGTTGTGATGTATCTATGTTTGTATTGACTCAACAAGAAGGTCAGGGGAGATGAAGAAGGAGAGGTCCAAGAAGCTCTAGTGACAAGGGTTCTCTTTTTTCCATATCTTTATCTTTGCATTGAACTCCAAGTTTGTTAATACAAGATTTGGATTTTGTGTTTATGATGTTATTTTAAAGTATATGCCTTGAGTATTTGGTTGAACTTTCTATGATTGTTTGGTGTTGATTTCTTGGTTGGTTGATGCTATTATCTTGATTGAGTTTTTTAGCACTTTTGCTCTTATAATCAGGATTAACTGGCTATTGATTATGATTATGTAAAGGTGTTAGATTTGCAATGAGAATTGAAATTTGACAATAGTTCATAGAAGTGTTAAACTTAGGAAGTACACTCACGAAAGTAGAGATATACCTTTGTGGCTTTGTTCTATGTAATTTCATAGAAATTAATGAACTTGTCATTATGATCATAGTTAATTTCATAGAAATTAAGTAGCAATTGATTATGAATGCCTAAAGGTATTAGATTTGCAATGAGAATTAAAATTTGACACTAGTTCATAGAAGTGTTAAACCTAGGGAGCACACTCACAAAAGTAGAGGTACACCTTTGTGGCTTTTGTGGTTTTGTTCCATATAATTTCATAGAAATTAATGAACTTGTAATTGAATTCATAACCAGGAAAGTATATATGAATTAACTATAGGTATAGTTGGTACACTAGCAAAAGCAGATATCATGTATATTAGGAAATTACATTATAACTTAGTCGAGACTTTGGTACTCATTTGGTTAGGGAGTTGCACTAACATGAGTAGATAGGGATTCCAATACCTAGGGAGTTTTCTTTGACATTTGTCTATCCATTTGTAGGTTAGTTTATTGTTTTTAAATTTGTTGATAGTCTAAATAATAGAGAAGGTTTAGTAGTGTCGGTAGTTGTCCAACTGCCTAGTGGGTTCGATTCTTAACCCTATACTCGCTAACGACCTATGTACTTGCAGAAAATCACATGTAGGGTATTTAAGAATTTATAAATTTAAAACTTAACTGTAGATTGAGTTTAATTGTTATATGCATAGCCCGCGCTCATCACCTAGCATGTCCATACATGTGATTTAATCTGTCCAAACCCCTAGTTCTTACTAGTGTAGCTCATGAACAGCACTATGGCTGTATAGAACAGTATTGCAGACCATGCCAAGACTCAAGATTGTTCATTATTTAAAGATAGGAAACGACGATCCCAAAAGGACAGAGATGGAGAGAATCTAACTGAAGAATTTCAAGTGACATCTAATCTGAGTGAATTTGAAAGTCAGTAATTTTAAGCTTTAGATTTTCTCCAATTAGTCGGTGGATTATCAAAACAACATTAGAGGATTTGGATAGGGATTTGATATTTAGATATATCCAAATCCCTGAATCCAAATGAGTGAAATGACCCTAGCTTAATTGACATTGATTATCTCAGATTACACATATTGACAATATTATATCAGGTTCTGAAATTTGCTAATCTCTAGTAGGTTCTATAATTCACGAAAATCAAACATTGTAATTCATCTACAGCCAAAAATTATCATACATTGTATAATTCTATTATAATATGGTCCCAATACACATTACATGATCAATACCATACATTTTTTCAAATTTGAGCTTTGCCATTGAACCATTAACCTTCTGGAATAGTTGTCAGTACAGCCGTTCAAGTCTCTGGTCCGCATTAGAACTAGTTCGAGGGTGTCTTTGGTTCACTAATGTTGAACTAGTTTGAGGGTGCCTCTGCTTCACTAATGTCCGGGCCATGGAACACATGGAAGATGGAACCAAACGTACCTAAAGTCCAACTAAACGGGCAAAAAAATTAAGGCTTCACAGTCACATAGCCGGCCTCCTGTCTTCTTGTTGCCCACATACGTAATATTTTATTCTTTTGTTGTCTAGCACTGCTTGTCCTACATTCACCATATCTTCTCTAAAAGCGCTATCCTGCCCATTACATGATGTAATTAACTGCTTCTCTACAAAAACTTGAACCAAAACAAATAAAGGGAAAGAGAAGAAATGGCTGCTAAATCTCATGTTCTAGTCCTCATTTTCCCTCAACAAGGCCACATTAATCCAATGCTGCAATTTTCCAAACGCTTAGCTTCTGAAGGTATCAAGTAACGATAATCACCTCATCTTCCGTTCACTTACCAGTGGAAGTTGAATCCATGTTGATCAAGTCTGAGTGCATTCCTGAAAGCAGTAATAATCAAGGTGATGAGAATGAAAAACCAGCCGATGGTGATCAACATACCCTTGCAATTTTTGTTAAAAATACTCGAAGCTTGAAGTTGTGGAACATCTGCCACTGATTTTCCAGAGAAAGGCTTCTTGTGAGCCAGCACAAATACTTGTTTATGATTAAGTTGTGCCATATGCCTTAGATATTGCAAAACAGCATGGAATTCCAAAGGCTGCTTTTGGCACTCAATCCGCTTCAGTTTGTGCCATATACGGATATACCATCATATGCATTTAGGGAAACTGAAAGTTCCTCTGGAAGAGCAAAACTTATCACAGCCCTCAGTGCCCTCAGTTTCATCATTTTTATCATCTTAATTGATAGTGATTTTCTCAGCGTCAGAAACAGCTTTCTGCTTTGCCAATATTTTGTCTCATCCCTTCTGACAAAATCAGCAACACGATACTGATGGAGAAAGATTAAAATTTAAATATATATGTCCAAAAAAAAAATCGCTCATTATGAATGATTTAGACCATTGGATCCAAATGCATCTTTCCAAATATTGAACTGACTTTTCACAGGACCTTATAATCAAATTTCTTGTAAGTCATTCAAGCAATAAAATAATGCGAATGCAAGGAAAGCAAAACGTATGATTCTGTAAGAACTGGCTGAAGAACAACCAATGCTCTGGCTATGAAGAAAATTGCTTTCCAGCTGTTTCTAGAGTTGAAATGCCCTCTTGACACCTTACTACTAGTTGAAAACAATCAATTTCACGTTTCCAACGTTCTCAAGAAATGAGTTACAACACTCCAAATCAGTCTTCAACACGAAAAAAAAAAGTAAATTCATTCCTCTTTTAAGATGTTATCTTCATTCATGAACCTTCGAGGCCTCAATTTCCACACTCACCTGAGATTTTCCTAGCTTCAGTACTATTTGTCCAAATTCATCATGAATCGTGCTAGGAATTTTCGACCAAGATTGCCTCAAGTTGCTTTCTTAGTTCCTCCCTGTCATGCAAGAACTTCAACAACGGAGAATGTAAACTATTAGAACTCTTGATGCGTCAAATGGAGTCCAGGATTGAAACTTCCAGTCTTTTTTTTTTAAATTGAAACAAAACTGCAGGAAAATGTGTACTGAACTTGAAATCGAATTTAAAGTTCATTTCCATCCAGAAATTGAATCAACTTGAGTACAAACTTTAAGTGCAAATTTGATTTTGTAGTTCAGTTATGCCATGTCCTTTTGATACTGCAAAGTAGCTGCTTTGTTTCCCTCATTCTGCTTTAGTTTGTACCATATACCATCTTCTGCATCTAGGGATACTCAGATTTCCTCTGGAAAGGAACAACTTATCACTGCCGTCGGTTCCCACTACTACTTCATTCAAGAGATTTGCCTTGCTTATAACCTAAGAGACAGGCATTCATTCAAGAGATTTGCCTTCCTTATAATCTAAGAGACGGGCACACATCCATCTCTACTGAGACTTGAACTTATCAAAATCAGAATTTCAAGAAAGCTGATTGGCTCTTGTTCAGAACTTTTGACGGTCAATAAAATCATGTTATTTCTCTGTGCACAAGTATGCATGTCTGGAAATCTTTATATCCCTCCAACTACTTTGATTCCTTGCAAATCTGTTAAAGGCTTTCTAGATGACCCTTTACAATACTAATCTTTGTTTGTTGTATCATGCATTTTAAACTTGAGGAGGCTTTACAAATTATACGTAGATTGGGTTTTGGGCCTAATCAATAATTTAATTAAAACCTTTCTAGATCAACATTTTATATATAAAGTAATAGGTGATGTGCTTTGCACGTGACTATAACATCATAAAATATAATATTTCTTATACATCAAAGTTCATTGTGAAAAATTTTAAACAAATTTAATATTTGCATATTTTCTATTTTATTTTTTAATAAATGGAAGGTTTTGAATCGAGAACTTCCTACTTATAATCTCTTCCCCCTTACCACTAAACCCAATCTTCTCCCTATTTTCTTTTTTTATTTAATTTTTCATCTTCCTTAATTAATTGTTCTTAAAAACTCACTTTCAAAAAATAAGCGACAAAACTATTCACTTATCATTTAATGTGATATATATAATCATATGTATTAAATTTAGTTTTTAATAATTCAATAACTTAATGGATAAAAGGCTTACAACTATAGGATGGCAATCTTGTCTGACTTCTATGAAGACAAAACGTGAACCTACATTTGAATAATTAGGATGGTAGAAAAAAATGGCTTGTAGACCATTATGTTTGACTGCCAGACATGGAGGATGAAAGGGTCACATGATGTTTAATGCCAACAGAGTACCACAAAGACCTCATATGGTTACTTACACTGTACTGGTTACGACTACGGCTACATTACAATTTATCTTTTATTTAAAAAAGCTAGGATATGAGCATTAAACTTCTCCCTGTTTTGGTCTTGAACCCAACCTTCTCCCTGGTTTTTTTAACTTAAATTTTCATGTTCTTTAATTAATTGTCCTTTAAATCATTATTTTAAAAGTAAAAAAAAAAAGTTCGCAAAAATGTTGTATCTAAAAATTCATATAAAATCTCTAGAAAATTTTTAACAAATGAGAGTACATTAAATATTGCAAAGGTCTTCACCCTTGTCAGGTTGAACTTAGGAAAACTGATTCGTCAATTTGGCGAAGGATGGTAAACGTGAGCCGACAAGTGGAGCTGTCGATGTTATGGGTGGCCAAACATGGGGCGTGTCATTTTTGGTACGATAACTGGTTGGGAAGTGGTGCTTTATTTCTACAAGTTCCGGTTATCCCACATTTATCATTCAGAAATTTCACACTCAATGGTCACTGGGATTTGAATCTTTTATACCAGACATTGCCAAGGGAGAATGTTTTTTCCATTTTAGAGCAAATGGTCCCGGAAGAAGGAAATGAAGTTGAAGTCATTTGGATGCCCACAACATCCGGAAAATTCTCCCTAAAGTCCGCTTACGGGGATATTAGGCAGGCTCGCCCCACGTCTATGGTATTTGCCTCTATTTGGCATTCCCGCATTCCTGTAAAAGTTTCATTTTTCATGTTGAGATTACTTCTGGGAAGGATTCCGATACCAGATCAGTTATGCAAACTGGGTTTCCATTTACCTTCCAAATGCTTTTGTTGTTCTGCGGCATCTGAGGAGTCTATTGAGCATTTCTTTTCCAATGGCCACATAGCGACGGTAATATGGAATTATTTTGGAGGTCTATGTGGATTGAATTTTTCAGGATCTTACTTACGAGCTCGCATAGTAGGTTGGTGGTTGCGATCACATGACTATGAGCTACGACGGTTTATTGACCGCATTCTTCCAAGTGTAGTTTGTTGGCAGATTTGGAAGGCGAGCAATAAAGCAATGTTTGAGGGTATCCAGATGCGATCGTCGGCCATTTGCCGAGCCATCTTCGCAGAAATCCATACTATGGTGGGAATACAGTTCAAAAAAGTTATTCGACTGCAATCATTCAGTCAGTTGTATGATTGGAAGATTCCTTCTGGTGGCAGGGTTGCATATAAAGTTATCCGCTGGGAGACAAAGGAGACAGGAAGGTATATACTTAATACGGATGGCTGTGCTAAAGGTAATCCAGGAGTGGGTGGAGGTGGTGGGGTTCTTCGGGATTCAACTGGCTTACCACTGATTGCCTTCTCGGCCTACTTGGGAGAAACTACAAGTCTCCGCGCAGAGGCTCGAGCTCTTCTAATTGGCCTTCAAACGTGTATACAAAAGGGCTTCGAAGACATATGTGTACAATCAGATTCATTAGTTTTGATTGGGATCATTCAGCGTCGTACTCAGTATCCGTGGCAAATTCGAAGAGAAGTTAACCAGATTTGGAAGCTAGTAGAAGATCCTGCTAGATTCTCACATTGCTATCGGGAAGCTAATACAGTTGCTGATGCTTTGTCTAATGTGGGAATATCTCATCCACAGCAACAAATCAAGGTTTACGATACCTTTAGTATGTTCCCAAGACTGGCTCGTGGAGCAATCTGTTTGGACAGATTAGGAATGCCTTCACTTCGAAAAATCACAAATATGTAAGAGGAATATTTTTTTTTTTTTTTTTTTTCTTTTTTTCTTCCCATGAATAAATAAAAACATATTTCCAAAAAAAAAAAAAATAGTCTCTTTCAATTTCTAATATCAGTTTTGAAGACAATTAATTAAAAAAAGATGAAAATGTAACATTTTAAAAAATAAAGATTTGACCAAATATGAAATAATTTGACAAAAGCATCAATATTTTGAACGGTATGTACAATATCGATACTTCTAATTACTTCTATTTGTTTTTTCTTTTTTTTAAAGGCAAACAAATTATGATAATACCACTAAAATTTTTAAATTTTTAAGTTTTAATTAGATATATGAACAATTTTTTATTTTTCTTTTGTACTTAGAAGATCTGAATTTACAAGCTAAGTAAAGGTTAATTGTTTGTTAACTATTGGGTTGGCCCAATGGTCAAAGTAGAATTCTTAAAGTTTTCTTCGATGTCAAATTTAGGATTCAAATCATGTGCTTTACAATAAGGGATGGAAAGGATGTGAAAAAGGGGTGGAAGGGTAAAAGTAAAATAAAATAAATAAATAAACTTTGTGCATAAATATCTATTTCATGCTCTACCATTATTTTTTTTTCAAGTTACTGTATTTGAATTTGTCAATTGCTTGATGAAATTCCTCAATATGCAATTATATGCATGTTTTTTGAAAAATGAAATATTTTTTGATGTCGAACTCTTTGTTTTATTTTGTGTGTACTGTTTCTATTAATAATGGAGTATGAATGATCCACCACATATAAATTTTTTCTGTCTAACTATTCATTTTTTGAGAATTGAAATTTCATTGGTAGAGATAATTGAGCTTTTTCTTTTTATGTTTCCTTTTAATTTTTAATTTTTTGGACAAAATCTAACATAAAGCACAAATGATAAACATTCTATTATTCTAATAACACCTGGTTCTGGTATCAATACTAATATTTTTGGAAGATTTAAAATTTTAAATAGGTAGTGACTAATCAAGAATTTTTAATGAAAATAAAAAAAATTAAAAATAGAACGCACAGAGACACATTGGTTTGGAGTATTATATTTTTTATTGTCTTCATAATTCAAATTTAATTAAGATTATAGTTTTCTTCCTAACTACTACAATTATTGTTATTATTGAAATGCAATAAATCTAAATATTAGGGAGAAGGATATTTTGGACAAATAAAAACAAAGACAAGATCCTACTTAGTCTCTAATTCTTAATATTTTGTCTAGTCATCAACCATCATTTTCTTTTAAATTAATATATATATGATATAATGAATTTTAATCATTATAATAAATTAAAAACTGAAAAGAGAATAATATGAAATCTCAATCATCAATTAATAAGGGTATAATTGAAATAATAAAAGTTAACATCACAATAATGCTTTCACTTACACTTCAAAGTAGCAAAATTCATGGTATTTTTTATATAGTAATAATAATAAGAGCAAATTACCCAATAGCCATTAAACTTTTGAAATAGTCGAAGTTTGACCATTTAACTATTAATAGTATGCCTTTACCCACTACATTATTGAAAGTATAAATATTGGGTCATTTCATCTGATTTTATCATTAACTTTGTCAAATCTAACTATTGATAGTATGTCACATGAATCGTGCCCTTAAATTTGACAGAGTTAACGGTGGAATCAAATGAAATGGTTCAAAATTCACACATTTAATAGTTTAGTGGGTAAAAATATACTATTAATAATTCGGTGGCTAAATCTTAACCATTCAAAAAGTTTAGTGGCTATCTGAGTACACTTACAGTCCAAAGTACCAAGACTCGTGGAACTTTTTATATAGTAATGATAATGTTAATGATAACACTAATCTCAATTTGTGACATTAAGCATTACAAAGTTGATCATGGAAAAGAGATAGGGAGAATTATCTTTGTGAGGAGAATTAGAAAAAACACTAAAGAAAAGAGAAAGGGAGAATTAGGGTTTCTTTGTAAATGGTGACTGCACGACCATCGGACCTTTTTGGCAGTGGAGATCCTCCTCTCGCAGGGAGGAGTTTTGCAGCGGTGGTTACTACTGGAACGGCATTGGCAGATACTCCCTTGGGTATTGGTGTGGTTTCAACGTATCGAGGGGAGTCGGCACGGCATCTATCCCGACAAGAATTAGTGTCTCTGGTCGAACCATTCCAAAACATGTTAGTCAGGCACTTCTCATTCAACAAGCCACCAATGGAGGTCATTAGAAAGTTTTTTGTTTCCTTAGGGCTCAAAGGCAAGTGCATTGTCGGTCTTCTTGACCCTAATCACATTTTGATCAGACCGATGCTTCAAGACGATTAAACAAGAATTTTTTTCATGGTAGACGTGGTTCATTCATAATACACCAATGGTTGTGTCAAAGTGGTCACTTGATTTTAGGGCTAATTAGAAGCTTTCGGTAGTTCCAGTTTGGACGTCTTTTCCTGACCTTCCAATTCCATTCTTTGCCAAGAATCTGATTGCCAAGCTTGCTGCAACGTTGGGACGGTTACTTTGGGTGGACTCAGTAGCACGTGATTTGTGTTATCCATCAATTGCACGTGCTCTTCCGGAGGTTGTTTCAAAAGAGCTGGTGAAAAGGGTATGGATAGGTGATGATGATTTTGGTTTCTGGCAAAGGGTGGAGTTTGAAAATTCGCCCTCCTACTACCAATTTTGTGCCCCCGTTGGCCATCATGAGGATAAATGTTTTAGGAAGAACCTGTCCCTAAAACCTAAACTGAAATCTCAGCATAAAAGACAACAAGAAGGATCGAAATTACGTCAAATCTACATATACAAAGTTGGGGATAAGGGAAAGGAAAAAACATGTGATGATCTGGCAGTCCATCAAGTGCAGGAAGTGGCGGTCGTTAGCCATAAAGTGGAGCTTTCCAAATTTGAAAACACTGAAAAAGAGAAAGAATGTGTTGATCTGGAAATACACAACACCAGGCTGTGGCAGTCGTTAGTCAACAGTTGGTGTCAAGTTTGATTGTACCTGAAGCTCAGGATATGTGTGGGCAGAAAGTTGGAGGTTCGATGCAAGCTAGTTATGAGTCGGAAGATAATTTGATGTCGATGGGTAGAGGTGACGAGCTTCGTGAGGGCTCTCTTGATCAGAATGCAGATGCCGCTGGTGCGCTTGAGCCGAACACCATGGCACTAGCAAATGAGCATGCCTCTCTGCTGGAGGGCTTTCTCACTGATGTAAATTTTGATGACGAGGTGGGGTTGGAGTTGAATAATACTTTTGCTCCATTGCAGAAGCTATCGGACAAGGTTGATCCAATACCACCCCAGGTGTTGCAATGTGCTCTATCACCTACAAACCTCTCTCGACAGTCTAGTACTTTGTAGCAGCTCAAGGTTTTTCAAGGAGAGTTGCATCGAAAATTGCAGGCATCGAAATCATTAGAGGAGAAATGTCCTTTCTCGTCAAGATTAGATGAAAAGGATATTGCACTGTTGAAAAACCTTGCAACTGTGCGGCCAGCTAAGGGTAAAAGAAGATGCAGAAGTCCTCCAAAGTCTAAAGTGTAGGTTCACGAATCTTCTCAAGCCTCTTATGTTTTACGTTCTTATGTTAAATTCAATTAAATTACTAGTTTGGAATATACGGGGACTTCTCGCATGGACTTCCTTCGCTATTTGAGGAAGATAGTTTGTGATAATTCGATTCACTTAGTGGTTCTTTTGGAACCAATGTTAGATGTTAATCAGTTGGTGGATGTCAAGCGTTTTCTTCATTTTGATAAGGCAACAGCTTTTGTTCAAGGAAAAATTTGGTTTCTTTGGGAGGATGAGGTTGGCATTGAATTTACAAAACACACCAAGCAACTGGTTCACACCATTGCCACATTTAGCTCTAGTTTGAGATGTCAGGGGTGTATGTGAAGTGCACTAGGGTTGGTAGGAGATCTCTCTAGAAGGCTATGGAGTTTCTACGAACTGATATGGTTAGTCCTTGGATGGCGGTTGGTGACTTTAATGTTGTCTCTTTCACGGAGCAACAAGTTAGCGGTTCTACGGTGAATATAAGAAATGTCGAAGAGTTCAATATGGCCATGTTCAACTGTGGGTTATCGTCAGTGGAGTTTGAAAGGAAACCTTTTACTTGGGCAAATGGTTCCATGTGGCAGCAACTGGATCGGGCACTAGTCAATGCTCGGTGGATGGATTGTTGTCCGATCATGAAGGTTATACACTTGGCTTGTGAATGCTCGGACCACTCTCCTCTGTTAATTATGTGCAAGGATAATAGAGTAAGAAGTTCTTCTTTTCGCTTTCTCAATGTCTGGAGTAGTCATCACCAGTTCATGGGAGTTGTGGTGGATGAATGGAAGAAAGCAATCTCTGGAGTAGGCATGGTTGGCTTCGCTCAAAAGCTTAAGCTGGTTTGAAGGCGGTTAAGTTCTTAGAAGCATGAGATCTTTGGAAATATTTTCTCTAGGGTGAAGGATGCCGAGGAGATTTATAAATTAAGGGAAGCAGAGTTTGATACCAATAAAGACGATCTTTCAAGGTTGAGTTTGAATGAGGCTTGGGTAGTATTCTCGTGCAAGCTAGCATTTGAATGCGCATGTTGGCGTCAAAAGTCAAATGTCAAATAGCTGAAGGAGAGGGATGCTAACACAGCATTCATTCATGGGGTAGTCAAGAGCAAACGAAAAAGAAGGATGTCTCGTGGGCAAACTCTTTAGAGCTCATTCAGGTGTCAGCAATATCCTTTTACTCCCGACTATTTGAATCAAAAAGTCGGCCTATTGCCCGTCATTTTAATTTTGAAGACTCCAAAATGACAGATGCTAATAATGCCATGCTACTTGCACTTCCTTCAATGACGAAGTTAAAAGTGGTTGTATTTTCAACGGACATTAATAGCGCTCCTGGACGTGATGGATTTGGAGTTGGGTTTTATCAATCATCCAAGAAGATTTGTTACGGGCAATCCAAGACTTTTATAGGGGAATGGGCCAGCCCAAGTATTGGCCCGGTTCT